ATTTCGTCCAAATCTGTGGATCATGTCACCCAAACGACATGGGTATGCAAATCTTTTTAGCAACAGTCCCTCTATGCGGTTGGCCTTAGTTCGTTGGTGGCAGCACAGACTCGCAGGTAATCCAAGGGCATCAGCAAGTCTAACAATGTCCATTTTTCTTACTCGAAACTCCTGAAAACACTCTGCTTCGTCCATAGAATCGAGATCAAAACGATCGTAGTCGGCGTGAGGAAATGATGGATTTTTGGAGAAACTAGCGTCATACAATAACAAAAATTCTTCTTCGGAAATAAAATGATGACTCCATGCTAGAGAAAGCATTTCTCGAGCTTCCTTTAAACTGGACATCGTCAGGATCGAGAGCGCGCCAAGGAAGTGTTTACATTTTCACGGTCGACCGACAACGTCTGTAAATTAGCGTAATTGTTTTGCTTAACGCAGTCATGTCACGAAACTCTGTTGGCGACAACGTCGTTCCCAGGTTCCCCCTCCTGCAAACGATCGAACGTCCGCGACACCCAAAGTCGTCGATGCTTAAGGTCCCTAGTGACAACCACGGGGATCTTCTGGATGAGGAATTTACCACATCAAGAGAGTTCTGGAGCAAGGTAAAGGGGCCTTTATCAGTCAAAAGTTTCCGAGTTGCGGTTAGGGATTATTTGTATCGATAGGTGGTTTCTTATTAATGAATCATCCATAGAGTATTAAGCAGTTTAACGGCGACTACAAGATGGGAAGGCGATGGTGTCAATTCCAGGAATATTGCATGAGTTCAGTTCCTAGAATACGAATGCTTCCGTTATTAATAATAAAATAGTCATTGACCTAACTCTCTGCAATTTGTCATCGGAAGGTTCACGAAAAGCAGAACGGAGGATTGTCATGGGGCAGAGCAATGAATGAGGTGCGAGTTGAAAGACTGATTCACAGATACAATGAGTCTGGGGAACTTGACAATGAGGATCCAGCCCTTGTGATGTTAAAACTGTGGCCAGCATCTAAACGGTTCAAAGATAATCCTGAGAAACTTCCAGGCCTTGAAAAGCTGGTACGCTAATAGTGTGTTAAATGATTGCAGTCACTTGCCATTAAGAAAGCCAAAGAAATCCCAAATATATTTGTTTTGCAATTTGACAGTTTATATCATCATCTAATTTTTTTTTTATGAAAAGGCAGATAAGAACTGATACAATGGGATAGATAGAGTAGTTTCCTAAGGGTTAATTATGTTTTTGCAGGTGAATCAACTCTTGGGGATTCTTTTCGAAAGCGAGCTGAATTCAGGCAATAGATACGAGTCATTTAGAGATCGAGAAGACAAAACGGAGAAGACGCTACTACACTATGCTGCAGAACTTGGGTTTTTACATGTTACCAAAGCACTTGTGAAGAGGTGTCCTCCACTGCTGGTTGAACTTACTAGAAGTCAACTCAGACCCCACAAAAGAGCGATGTTACCGGTTGAATTGGCATTAATAGGCGAGAGTGATGAGGTGGCAGCATATTTAACTAGAATGATGTGGCATGAAAGGTACCTACGAGTGCATTGTTTATAAAAACAAAAGTAAAAGGAACCTTATTGGTGGTGATCCATTCATGATTTACTAAACAGACTGCACATATATTGCAAATGGCCACAGTGACAAGCTCTGAAAGTTCAGAATCTCAAATCGTGTTGGTTAAAAAAACCAAAATGATATTAGAGTATACATAAATTTCCCATTTAACTCTCAGTATGGTATTCCCACTTGTTCACCTGATGATGATGGTACCATTAATTCAATTTTCACAAAACTGATTGCTTTTATCTGAAATTTTTCCTTTCATAAGTGTCAAGAAATTATTTTCTCCAAGACCTGACGATGAAACAACAAATTCTAAACCATCCCTCTTCAGTTTGAACTCAATCATCACCAATATTAAAATGAAGGTGAGACACTTGTGTGACAAGGAGAAGTAGAATTGCTCTGTGTGCAGCCTTTTGTTAATTCTCATGCAATTTCATTTTAACTTCATAGTGATCATATGACAGCCATAATACAGTAATGCAACATGATATATGATAATGTGGTTTTGTGGGAACATTTACTTGGCTTAGTGGGTCAATAGAGACTTGAATGCCTCGTTTACTTTGGTAGTGTTTGCTAAAACAGGATGATTGTTGTCAATATACAGTGTTGGTTAGACATGAAGAGGCTTGAACCAACATATTCTAGAAGGACATTCACCTAATATGCCAATTTCTTGAGCTGCATTATTCTGGCAAAATATTTTATTCTTTTAATGACTTTGAGGATGTTGTTATGCTGACACTCAAATTGTTGGTTCATTTCATTTTCTCTTTATATACCTCTTGTTTGAAGTTTAAGGCTTGGGAGAATTTATGGTTAAGAAATTTTCTGTCTCAACTTAATAAACAGTCTGGTGCTACTTATCCATGATGGTCATTAGTTTAATTCTGTACCACAAACAGTGACTGATTTGATTGTATAATGTCTCTGTTTCCACCAGGGAAACACTTATTACCCTTTATTTAATGTTCATTGGATTAAAACTCTTATAAAATGCTAATGAATGACAATTACCACATGTACAATTCCATCCTTGCAATTATTGATTCTCAATTATCAAGAACAGAACTTTGCATATGGTAAAAAGGGTATAATTAATTCTTATTCAATGTACTTTGCCATATTAACAGAAAACAGTGGTGGCTGTGCTTGACAAGATGGTTAACCCTCACTGGCCGTACCTTCCAAAACGGAAGGACACTTATGTCTCTCAAGAAGAAAAGGAGGGAATTGAAGGAGTTTGGAAGACAATCCCAGAAGATCCATTGAACTATTGGTTTCATTATGCTATCTTGGATAGTGACGAGGGAGGGAGACTGCCAAAAGTTTTGTTGTCAGGTGGACACAAAGAGTCAGATAATAAATATTTCAAGTGGAGAGACAAGTCATGTTTACACATGATCGCAAAGAGCAACAATAAGGTACAAAGTGAGTTGGTGTATATGAGGTTACACCTTTAGCTTTTGGACAGTCAAGTAATCAGACCTACAGAAGAGTGTTCTCAATGACATAAAATTGTTCACCTAGTTAAATCTTGAAGTTGATTTAATTTTTATTTCTTGCAATTGGCTTGAAATTCTGTTTGACTTTAAATTACAGGAGGCCTTACAACATCCAGTGGTTAGAATGTTGATTAAGACAAAATGGAAAAGTTATGGACATTTTTTTCTCAGGTAGATAATTTTTGCCTTTTTTATTATGTTATTATTTTTTATTATTCACAGATCCAAGCTCACTGGTAAAGTGCACCAAAATAAGATATGTTCTCCTCAATCTCCTTGAAAAAAAAAACACTTTTATTTTTTAATTTTAGTAAACTAACCTTCTAAATTTAGGTCTACCAATTTTACATGATTAAACTTTTATTTGTCAATAATTTTTTTAAATGTTGTAAATTTAGGCTATTTATGTTTAAATGCTCTTTTTTTAAATTAGCCTTCAAGCAGGATTGTATGTGATCTTCTTGCTGTTCTTATCATATTCCCTGCTGTATGGTTCTACCAAACCAGACCCCACCCATTACAGGGGTGCAGCAGATTTATGGTGTGGATTTTGTGAGATTGCCACTCTTCTCATGGTTGTGTTTTACATATGTGTAGAAATGAATCAAATCAGAATGTAAGTGATTATTTAAGGCTGATAACACTATTAAGTGCAATGGACCTTAATTACATAAAATTATTGAATATTTTCTTTATTGAATGAGTGGGAGGGTCAGACAGGAAAATATTGAATGGTTCATGTTGTATAGACTGAGTGCAGCATCACCTGTATGTCATGACTGAAATCCAAATATTTTCCCTTCTGGCCCAACCAAATTAACTCAGGCAATAAGCATTTTATTATATACATGACAAAAAAGATTTTACAATGAGAGTTTTCTTTTTGATTTTTGAGCCAGAACAAAGAAACACATGATTCATTGAAAAACAAGACTTTTTTCTCATTTCTCTTTTCCTTTTAAGTTGTTGTGACAAAGGCATGTGAGTGCAGGGCTGAAGGGCTTTTCCTGGAGGCGCTCATGTTAACCTATGTGGCCCCATACACAATATCTTTCACTATGGTTTTCC